TGCCAACTGCAGTGCCGTACAGATTTATATAGCATTTGGCTTGTGTAAACCGGATGAAAAGTTCATAATAGGAATGACAGACCAATCATCATTTCAAGGGAATGAAAGATGTATTTACACAGCACAGGATATAAGATTTCCAACATCTAGCAGGGCCTCACTTTAATGCCTTTTGCATATTCAGATGAACTCTTCTTAATTTTCCATTGTATCCTAAGAACATTCTATCAGAGCACTCTCTAAAATAGAAAGGTTGGCTGCCAGCCAAAGTCTTATTTCTCCAGATAATAGCATCATTGCTTAGCTTCATCTGGATCCAATGGCATAGGAAGACATTTACTGGAGAACACTTTTTAGAGGCCTAATAAAGCCTAATAAAGTAGAACCACTTTGGGGCAGATCCGTACTTTCAACATGAAGCACTCTTCCAGAATCCTTGCCTCAATGCAATCTCTTGGACTGAAAGATTTTAAGCACTAATTACATATACATATATTTAGGCATCACAGAGAATAGTAGCTCTCATTTTCTGTAAATGTGTTTAGTGATATATGCTTGCTTAAATCCACTCATGCAATAAAAGTTTCTTGGGCTCATTTCATCTCAGGAGAAAGTTCAGTTATTTCTTTAATAAAATTGAGTAGATATTCTCAGCATTAGAACAGATGGTCTGTTCATAGAATATTTGAAAGTGTGAGTGTTGGTAGGTGTTCAACTATCACTCTGCTTTCTCACTGTCTGGAGTTGCCAGGGAAAATATTGACACCTTTCAAAAAATATCCCAGGACCAGTTTTACACAATTGGTGTCACTGAAATTACTGCTACTCACCCACCCCTCCACAGATTCCTTTTCAGAGTGGGAATGGGAAGATTCCTGAAATCCCTATGCCACAAATTATCTTTGCAACCAACTCATCTATATCTGGTTAAATCTTTCTTGGTGTTGTGAGATTAAGGAATTTTCATTGTGTCTTCTGCCTGCAAGGATACACTTCATGGATACACTGTTAATATTCTGCCTGTGTCCTTCATAATGATTGCTACAGTACTTGCACTCTGTGTTATAGATGACTTTTCTTCTTCTCATGGGCTTCTGGGTGTTTTGGTTTATTTAAGATGTTTTGGAGAGCTTTAGTTGGGTTTTTTTAGGGCTGTTATAACTTGTTTTGAATTGGTTTTGCTTCTGTGTATTCTGCTCTGTGAAGTGTAATAACCAACAGACTGTATCACATAAAGCAACTTCCAGTGCTCCCAATGCTGGCCCTCTAGTGTTCATTATTCTATGAATTGCATTTATAATCCCAGTGACCTGCTAAACATTTGCATGAAAAGAAACAACAGTCTGCAACCATGAATTTAAAAAAAATATCATTCATATATATATATGGTATCTACTTAGCCTTATCACATGCATGTTTACTTTAAACCAGTTCAACAGGACTCAGAATTAAATGAGAGATTATCTCCTAGTAGTATGGTTATAAACTCTTCTTTCCCAACCTGGTTCCCTTCATATATGTTGGGAATTATGGAATTATAAACCCAGCATTTCTGGAGAGCATCAGGTAAGGAAATGTATTAGGTAAATTTCAGGCATGGGTGGTAAAGAAACATTAGAGCAGGGCTGTCCAACTCTGGATGCATCACGTAATGGCCACGCCCATGACCAGTTTAGCAAAAAGGGGAAAAGTCATATGTCACATGACAGTGCTGTGATGACACACATTTGGCACCCCTGCATTAGAGGGAAAGATCTGTTATCCATTTCTCTTCCAGCAGCATTTCTGTTCACCTCTCAACTGCTTTCTAAAGAGTAAAAAAGGCATAAAGAGATTGGAAGCCATTTTAAGCAAAAAACGTGCCAAACCAACCCAAAGGCAGAACTTTTCCATGTTCTATGGATGCCTGGTTTTAACATTGCCTATTGTTTTCAGAAAGATGTTTAATTTACTGAAATAACAATAGCACAGCTGCAGCATCATTTCAAGTGGAAACTAAGGTATTGTAGGCTTCCCAGGTGTTTTAGATAAGAGGCTTGAAACTAGTTTCTGCTCTTGTCTTTTATGACTGCAGGAAAAATGAACCCGATTGGGGTTTGGTGGTTGAGTAATCAGAAGCATGTCTCTCCTTCTCACAAGAATAGTACTGCATCAAATATCATGGAAAACAAAGTAATTAAGCTGAAAAGCCAAACACAAAAACCAACTGCTTCTTTTGTACTTTATATTTAACAAAGAAAGGCTGAAATGTCTGTTTTTTTTTAAAGTAAAGCTATTTATAGGGCATAGAGTCTCATCTTAGGATTTTTTTTTCTCACCTAAAAACCTTGCCATGCCAAGAGCTGTGTGTAGAACAATTGCAATTTTATTGGTGACTCATAGCACAAAAAACATTAGCAATATAGTAATAGTATTTGGACTTATATACTGGCCCATAGCACTTACAGCACTCTCTGAGCAGCTTACAAAGTCAGTATATTGCCTGCAACATTTTATCAATCTCAGAATGATGGAAAGCTGAGTCAATCTTGAACCCATCAAGATTAAAGTCCAAGATGTGGGAACAGTTTTCCAGCAATACTGCATTCTAATCATTGTGCCACCAAAGCTCAAGATGTCTTTCTGTGGGGTATGAGGAGTTATGGGATGATTGTGATTTCAATCAAGGCAGCCAGTTTTGGGAGAAAGTGGGAAAAGGAGGACGAGATGCAATTCCTTTGTTTCTTAAACTCTGTTATTCCTCAGTGAGTAAAATAATAATAAACTGTACATATACTATGTCAATATATTACAACATTCTAGGTTCTTGGTAAGAATGCAATGTGTATCAAGGTCAACACCAGCTAAAGAACTGGCAGCTGTGACTTCACATTGTTGTGAACACATAATAATTTATTCAGTAACATTTAGGAGTAAAAATGTGAGCTGGTCTCAGTAGAATTCTTATAAGACTGTCTGCTTGAAGAAGCCTCTATAAATCTCTGCTAACCAGTTTCTGTCCTTAAAAAGCTTCTCTATCATAGAAAAAGCATCATGACTTGCAAGATTTGAGAGCCCAGGACACTTGCCTGTTTAATTTCTACAATCCATCAAGTACAGCCTTTTCCCAGGATAGCATAAGAAATAAAAAAGCTTACATCTGATCTAAGAACTATCACTTTCCCAGGTGGGACAAATTCATTTTCAGGATAATGTAAATGATGCAATATAGGATTCAGCACATTAGCAGATAGAATCTTTATAGCTGCTACTTTCCCAGCTCTTAATCACATTGGGTACTGCAGCTATTGCCTATGGCCATATTGCTTTTACTGATGCTCTATACTTGATTTTTTGCAAGAAAATGATCCTATAGAAAAGTAACAATGATGCTAAATAGGCCTGTGTTAAACTGGCCTTCTGAAAATTTCTTAGATTAAAGCAAATTGCTTTTACAATTTTCTCCACCATCAATCTAATCAGGGACATCCATACAGGAGTAAAAAAAAATCAAGATGGTTTCTTCAACTTCAACAAATATTTCATGCTTAATATGCTGAAAGCCATTCATTATGCCAGAGTGTAAATGGTTCTTGAAGCACTACAGCTTACATTGTCACACAGTTGGATGGATGGGTGAACATTTGAGAAAAGCATTAGCTTGCATTCAGTTTTTCTGTATTCATAATAGAAATTATAACAATTAGCAACAAGCAATAACTAAAATTCTATTTTAAAGATAAATTAATGAACACTATACAAATTCAATTTGGATTTTAAATTTTTAACCAAGGGCCAAGAACAGATGAAATGCATTTTTAATAAAAGAAAAAAAATCTTCTATTTCATTATTTTCTATTTGGTTCTGCATGCTTTTTGAATTTTATATTTGTATTCTGATATCTTTAAGAACTTTTATAAGGCATCCTAAATATTAATGTGATCAAAATACAGAATAAAAATCTTTCTATTACTAATTCTACTAAAATGCAAGGTATCCTTATGCTTTACAACTAATTTCTATTTATCCATTTAATAACAACTTAGCACAAATAATGGCATACTTTGTGAGAAAACAAGTAAATTTGTCATATGCATATTCATGAACGTCAAAACAAGGGGGGGATGCCTAGGGTTTTCAAAAATACTGGGGGAAGGTTATTTATTCATTTAGTACACTTCTACCATCATAATAATTCTGTGAACTAAGGAGATTGGAAACAAGGTTTCTACTGCTTTAATATGGAATGTATAAAACCATCTTCTGCAAGCTATTTAAGAACTCTGGATTTTATTGTGTCCTAAGTTGGAATTAGTCACCGATAGATCTCCAGCATGTGTTTCTGCTGTGTTGATTGAAACTACCAAATAACGTGAAAAGACACATCAAGTTGCTTATCAAAGGACAAATTTCCACAATTAGATAACCCCTGAATGTAAAATCAGAGAGATTATTTCCAAACTCTGAACTCTGAAACATGGAATTCTACTATTATGATGAGTCAACTGAAGTTACTATAGCACATATTCATTGCATATTTATTTACCAGTTAATTATTATACTCTTTAAATCAGTGGTTCTCAACCTGTGGGTTGGGACCTCTTTGGGGGTCGAACAACTCTTTCTCAGGGGTCGTCTAAGACCATCGGAAAACACATATTTTTGATGGTCTTAGGAACTGAGACACCAATTTTATGGTTGGGGGTCACCACAACATGAGGAACTGTATTAAAGGGTTGTGGCATTGGGAAGGTAGAGAACCACTGCTTTAAATTATTATAAACTGAAAAATGTATCCCAAACCTCTAATATATTATATTATGTCTAAACCATTCCTCAATTAATTACAATCAATTACCATTTGGAATTGAAAACTAGTGTGAACCCATTCCTATTGTGAACTTGATAGAGTATCCTTTGTATATAATCAGATTTGATGACATTTTGTCATAAATTGCAAAGTTTTGTATTGTGTTGTAACTTGGCTCCTATCCAAAATATTGATCTACCACCAGTCTACCTGCAGAAGAAAATCAAAGAGTGCCAATTTAGCCCATTCAGAATGTAGGACAGTCAAACAAGGACTTTTCCCAAGTGATGTTCTGGAATCTTCCATGCCACACCGCTGTTGCAACAAGTCCTGGTACTGCAACCATCTTATAGTAAAGGAGTTCTGATCATTATTAGAATCATTCAAGTGCTGTATATCTGGTGCCCACCATACAATGGGCCTAGTAACACCATTGGTGTACTTGTAGGGTAGCAAGTGGCTGCAAAATCTCCTGGCCACTACAGGTAAGCTCCGGCGCAGCCCCAAAATTCTGTCCAAATGGAATGCAAGAACTTCATAGAGATCAGTGGACCTTTTGATTAAGCCACATAGCCCATTCAAACACAAACTTTGGGAGTCATGAAAAAGGGCATCTTGATTATATGATAGAGCGACTCTAATTATTTGCCCATGGCCAAGAATTCGGTCCTTCTTTATCACTGTACCATTCGCCAGAAGTTTCATCTTCTCCACATCATCCAGAGTGAACCATGGAAGGTTTGCCTCGGCAAACCTGGGCCTGTTCCCCTCTTTCAAATTAAAACCATTGTACCATAGGTTTCTGCATTGTTCTGATTTTTTCAGCTTTTCTGGATCTGTAGTCCAAAGATAAGATCTCTGAAGATTATGTAAATGAGTATTATCCCTCTGTTGTTGAGTGTTCATTGTGATCTGGACAGAGTGTTTATCTGAGATAAGAATTTTGAGTAAACCTAGGGATTGGTGGGCAGCACTAGCTGCCTGCCCACGTGGCTTATATTGCTTCTGTAATACAGTGACCTTGCTTAGAGGACTGTCCTTAAGAAATAAAAAGGCTCCAGGCTTTCCATTTTGTAAAGGAAGTAGAAAAGGGGCTAATTGCCTTTGTCCTTTCCAATTTATTTCCTTCTTGCTTGGGTGCAGTGGGAAACTCAGGTCTCTTCCAACATCTTTTAGAGTCAAAGTCCTATCAAAGCTGCTTTTTTCCCCATTAGACCTGGAAGGATACTCTTCATGTTGGAATCTTCTGCCAAGGTCAACGTCATTTTCTGCTGCAATGTTATGGTTTTTAATTTGGGCAGGGATTTTTTTTCTTTTGTTAAAACCTTTATGACTTAATTCACCCTGTCTATGTGGCAGGCTTTTCTGTTTGCAAACTGGACACGGGTTTGAAAGGGGTTGTCTTCCCTGTGCCTGAGTCCATTTGCCTAAGCTGAAATGCTGTTGCTGTTGTACATGAGGGATAGTGACATTTATCTGCAGATGCTTAGAAAGGTCAGGTTTCATATGAAGCATCTCTCTAGGCAAATACTGGAAATTCAAATCTTTGTACTTGTTCAGGGATGTAGGACAGAAGCTTGTAAAAGCAAGCACAGATAATGCAAGCAAGAAGCAGTAACCAGTCAGAGGAGATTTCTTCAGCCTTATTCTGCACCAAACTTTATGGGCCTGTGAAATAAGAAAGGGAGATCTTATTTTCCAAAGAAGACAAATATGCAGAGCTTTACACATGAGTAAAACCAAACCCACAGAAATATCCAATGACATGTAAAATGTTTAGACAGAGAAGAAAACTGCCATACCTTTGCCATTCATACTCCTTGCAGACAGCTGGTCATTTACATCATTTTAGAAGATTGTTGAAACACTTAGAGGTTTATCTGTGTTCTCAGATGTTTTTCTGTTCTCAGAGGTTTATCTGTGTTCTCAGACATAGATAAATTTCCAAGTGCTTCAATGACCCTCTTAAAAGGATGCAAATGACCAGCTATCTGCCAGGACTTTAAATCCTTCCATTCCCCACTATCCTGTCAGAGCTGAAGAAGCTTCTTGGATGAGAAGCTAAACATCTTCAAAGAAAAAACAAGTAAGTCCAGGTGTTTCCTGAAAAAGCACCTTTGAGACAACCATGACCTGACAGAATCTCTACAGACTTCTCCAGTAGACAATTTTCCAACTGTATTACTTTGAGGTGATGTGTACAAGAATCAGTGATGCAAGGAGTGCCACTAATTGCACACCGGCCCCAGATGGACAGAAGTTATCCTTGTCAAGTTCTCTTATCTGGCACCTGCAAATCCAGAAGAACTCTAAACTACATCCCAGCTCTTTCAGAGGCAAGATGATTCTATCCAGAAATTCCACTGGAGCCAGATTTTTCTTTTCCAAAACACTACTTTTGTTTTGTGGAATTCACATTTAGTTTGCTTTATTTCATCTAGCCCTTTAGAGGCTCCACAGACATCATAAAGAGACACAAGTTGAAAAAAGGGGCTACAATATGTAAGTACAGCATGAGATGTCTATAGACATCGCGCCCTTGTGATGGTCGGATCACTACCTGTTGAGGCTTGATTTTTGGAAGCTACTCCCCCACCACAAGGAGGTGGAACCGATTAGGTGATTCCGCCCCAGACACCTGATGGACCTGTTGGGATTTCAGAAGGAGCTTGGGGAGATACCTGACTCTCTTGCCCACAATCTGGCAGAGTCCCTGGTCGCCGCTTGGAACACAGCAGCAATTGGGGCCCTGGATCGGATTGCGCCTATGCGGCCTCTCTGTGGCAGTGGATCCAGGAGGGCTCCTTGGTTTAGTGAGGAATTCTGGGAGATGAAGCGCCAAAAGAGGC